AGCAACTAGTTACATATAGGAAAAAGAAATGAATGGACAGGGAATGAAGAAAGGATTACCTTTGTAGCTTTTGGATTTTGAACTACTATTTATACCATTATTAATTATTCAACACAAATCAATTTAAAAGGATCATCCTCATACACAAAAAGCTTTAAAACTGGCCCGCGCAAGGTGGCTCACGCCTGTAATCCTAGCACGCTGGAAGACTGAGGTGGGTGGATTGCCTCAGCTTCAACCTTCAAAGGTTGAAGACCAGCCTGAGCCAGGGTGAGACCCCCCCATCTCTAAAAATAGCCGGGCATTGTGGCAGGCTCCTGAAGTCCCAGCTACTTGGGAGGCAGAGAGGCAAGAGAATCGTTTGAGCCCAAGAGTTTGAGGTTGCTGTGAGCTAAGATGCCACAGCACTCTTAGCACCAGGGTAACAAAGTGAGACTCTGTCTCAAAAAAATAAAACAAACAAAAAAAGCTTCAAAATTATCTATTTAGAACACTCTTCAAGATTTCTCCCAAACTTTCTTTTTTTTTGAGACAGAGCCTCAAGCTGTTGCCCTGAGTACAGGGCCGTGGCCACCTTCAACTTCTGGGTTTGAGCGATTCTCTTGCCTCTGCCTCCCAAGTAGCTGGGACTACAGGCGTCTGCCACAACACCTACCTATTTTTTGGTCGCAGCCATCATTGCTGTTTGGTGGCCTGAGCTGGATTTGAACCTGCCAACTCAGGTGTATGTGGCTGGTGCCTTAGCCATTTGAGCCACAGGTGCTGAGCTAGTCCAAAATTTCAAAAGCCAATGAAAGGCTCGGGGCCTGTAGCTCAAGTGGCTAAGGTGCCAACCACACACACCTAAGGTGGCAGGTTCGAATCCAGCCCGGGCCCACCAAAACAACAATGACGGCTGCAACCAAAAAATAACCGGGTGTTGTGGTGGGCGCCTGTGGTCCTAGCTAGTTGGGAGGCTGAGGCAGGAGACTCGCTTGAGCCCAGGAGTTGGAGGTTGCTGTGAGCTGTGATGCCACAGCACTCTACCCAGGGAGATAGCCAGGCTCTCTCTGTCTCCAAAAAAAGCTAATGAAAGGAAACCATACTTTTATCTTCAATCCTTCTGTACAATAAATTCCTAATAAATAATAGTTTTTTTAATTTAATAGATTGTTCTTACCATCTGTTTCAACTAAGAGTTCTGGCACCTGAAGCCCCAAAGCCTTACCTCAAACAGCTTTTCAAACTATGCAAAGAAGATGTATTTCTGTAAAGTTATGTTTTAAAATATAATATAAACAATAGATATTTATTGTGCCTAAATAATTTTTTTTCTAAAAGATGCTGTGATTATAAATAATATAAAAGAATTGAACTGCCTTCTAGGCCTTTGCATCGGATCTAGCTTAGGAACTACGACATGTTTATATGAAAAAATTACTGCCGTGCCAGGAAGAATATTACAGATGCCAAATAAGTAGTACAAATAAGCAATCCCTTAAGAAATTCAGGAGGGGCTCGGCGCCTATAGCTCAACCGGCTAAGGTGCTAGCCACGTACACCTAAGGTGGCGGGTTCGAATCCCCAGCCCGGATCCGCCAAACAACAATGACGGCTGCAACCAAAAAAATAGCCGGGCGTTGTGGCGGGCGCCTGTGGTCCCAGCTACTTGGGAGGCTGAGGCAGGAGACTCGCTTGAGCCCAGGAGTTGGAGGTTGCTGTGAGCTGTAATGCCACGGCACTCTACCCAGGGGGACAGCTTGAGGCTCTGTCTCAAAAAAAAAAAAAAAAAAAAAAAAAGAAATTCAGGAGGAAACATCATATTTACTAAGCAAGTCACTAAAGGCTGCAAAAGACCACAAAATCTGATCTGGACTTGACGAATAATCCAATTTTAGTACCCTGGGGATTGCATAGTAGGGACAACGGGGTAGTTTAAGAACAAGTGAGTAGACCAGGCTGGACAAATGAAATCTGCAGGTAGTAGGTAGGACTCCTAGCTCTTGGAAGCCCATGGTAAATCATTCCTAATGTCTGCACACTTCCAGTGCCCTAAATTAATTTTGATTTTTCCCAGTATTTCCCAAAGTTCTCATTTCTTCTACATTTTCACCACCACAAAACAATCTAAATTCTCATCCCTTCCCTCTTCAAAGACCTCCAGACTCATCCTCCTGGGTCTAATCTCCTCTCTCTTCATGGTACACACTCACGCACTGATTCTTTCATACACATAACCCATTCACTCCAACCCTCTAGCCACTATCTACAAAATAAAATTGTTCTCCCTCATACTCAAGGCCTTTTATTATATCATCTGCTGTCTATCAACCTCTCCCTCCATCACTGGTCTCACACTCCAAAAACATACAAGTTTCATGCCCTACACCTATGGTGTTCTTTTTATTTGTAAAAGCCTCCTTATTTTATTTCCAGGAAGGACATACATGGTTGTGCAGGTTGCATTAACTGTATTTTTATCAATGATATCCCCTGCCAGTGCACAACCTCTGCAACCTTCCAACCATGGTTTGTTTCCATCCTCTCCCACCTTGAAGGCCTTGTCAGAACAATTCAAATCTCAGAGATCAATCGTGCCTCTGGTTCCTACATCATCCATTTAACACCAACCAACTTCTTTACAATAAAAAGTTACCACATTTGGCACATCAGTATTGCCTTGAACATAGCAGATACTCAAAAGACGCTTACAAATTATGAGTGAGTAAGTGAAGAACGACAAGTTGTATTGCAAAGAGCCTTGAAGGCCAAGAAAGGAGTTTTGGCTGTATTTCATAAATGATGAACATGGTCAAAATTAGTGATTCTCAACCTGTGGGGTCATGACCCACAGGAACTGTATTAAAGGGCCGCGGCATTTGGAAGGTTGAGAACCACTGGGTCAAGTGATCAGAATGATGTTTTGGAAAGCCTAATTCCAGCAACCACAAGCTGGCAGAGTGATTATACTTAAAGTGCCAGCTTCCGGGCCCTCTCAGTGGGGGCTCCCTCTGTAATGTGCAGTATCCTCAGTCACTCAGCCATCCTTGACATTACCTGTTTGGGAGTGCAGATACAGATTTTCATAGACCTACACTCATACAGTAGCTTAAAGACTGGGCCATTAAGCCAAGAAACACATATTTCTGCCTGAAATATCTGGGTATCTAGGGAACAGCGCCTACTTGAATTATTATTCACATAAATAAAATACATATACACAAATAAGCATTACTCTTCTTCACTTCTTTTGCAGTCTCCCTCTTTTCTGTCTCTGTCGCTTCTGGTTTTTTCTGTTCCTCTCTCTCCCTAAAATTACTATTTATGACTCTCATTTCTTTCCAAATGATTTCCAGACTGCCCTTCCTCTCTCTAAAAACTCCCTCCCCCCCCAAAAAAAAACATTATATTTCAGGTACTTCATTGTTTTTACTCATATACTGGTGTAGTCAACTCCCTCAATATCTGTACTAATCACTTAATACTCTCCACCATAGCAATAATAGTTTTAAAAAAACCCTCAATTCTCAATTCTCCTATTCTGTTTGTTCATGTTACTCAAGTCTTTACTAACATTAGAATTCTACAGTTACTCGTGAATCATTTCAAAGCCAGTCACTTACGGCTCATTTTCCTATGACGCTCTTAAAAATTAAAAATAAATAAATAAATCAAGGGCACTTTGTATTTAGTTAAATAAATTAATCTCATTGTATTGTTAGAGTATCAAATAAGCAATTCTTTTCTATAAATTCAAAACAGTTAGAACCCAATACACTAAAGAAAACGTTTTCTAATTTATTTCCTTTCAAAGCATGTATCTTAGTGTTTAAGCCAAGTAGGCATACCAGGAATACGCTGCGTGTGGTACTCGACAATTTTATTTCCTTCTCAGATTTATATAAAAATCTTTACTCCCTACAGGAGTAATGTTATGTGGAAGTAAACCACTGCAATATTAAGATACATAGCACCATTATAACATGCACATGCCTACCAGGCAAAGACTGCAAGGCACGATCTGAAATTTAAAAAGTGAATGGAATGAGGATCTTAAAACAGTATCAAACAGATAAAATAAAATATACAATTTAGTTTTTGTTCCTCAAAAGACTGTCCCAACTTTTCTCTGTTTAATTCTCCAAGCAAATATGCTGACTTGTACTAAAAACAGTAAAGTGTTATCACCATTGAAAAGTAACACTATCTTAGGAAAGATTAAAATATTTTCCTTTTACCCTAGTAAAGTGGGGGGAAAAATCCCCATAAACTACCCAAATACTCCTTTTAGTATAGGACAATTTAGATTTTCCTGCTCTTCCATGGTAATGTTTTTTTCCCTCCCCATATTAAGGACAATCTGAAAGTAATACTGTGAATCTTTGATACCAAATGGTGGACAGAAGCTAACTCCACACTTTGCAGGAAAAGAAAAGAGAAAAGACCATAGACATCCATTATTTAGAGTCTGGTGTTAAATTAACCTCCTTTATAACATAACAATTTCATTACAGCACGTATTATGCCGGAGGCAGAGTATATAGAATGTGTGGGCAGTGAATAGCAGACCACATTTCACCATAACAAGAATTCATCTTTTCAAATATCATCAAAAATTGGAAAATAATTCAAACTGCATTTAGCTCGAGATTTAATTGCTGAATACTAACAACTTAAGTTTAGAAATTAATTAGCAGGTTGCTATTGGCTCAAAAGTAAACTGCGAAGATGGAATGTTTTCCTATTTCTACCTGCCCCTCCCCATTCCTGGGGATTTCGCGTCCCCAGGATTTCAAGAGGCGCGTCCTAGTGTATCCCTGGCCAGACCCAGCTGGTGCCCGGGAAATAGGGATGGGAGTGGGGACCAACGCGTCCCGTGGTTGGCCGCGCCTGGGGCCTCACTGGATCCCGAATCCAGCCTGGCTCGGCCAGCCGGAGGCAGACAGGACGGAGACGGGACGGACGAACGGGACGGACAGACGCGACAGGACTGACGGGACGGGCAGAGAAGTGTGTCCTACCCGGAGGGCTCCCTCCCAGGGACGGCGGAGTACCTGCTCCGGTCATCCAGGCTGCGGTTGTCTGCGGCCGCGGCACGCCAGTCCGGCAGCGTGCTGGCGCACAGCACCACCATAGACACGATCACAAACACCACCGACACGCTGGCCAGGATCTGCGCGGCCAGAGACGAAGTGGGCTCTTCGAAGGTTCGCCGCATGCGCTCCAGCCAGCGCCTGGAAGGAGCTGCCTCGGCCCCGCCAGGTCGCGCTTCGTCGCGGCCCAGCAAGCCCGGCTCGTCGGCCGAGTAGAAAGTGTAGGTGTCGGACATGCGGTCGTCGAGGCGGCGCTGGCAGCAGTACTCGAGGTGCGCGCCCTCCAGGCCCCAGTAGATCATCTCGTTGTAGAAGGATAGCTCGCACATCCGCGGCGCGAAGCGAAGCTTGCCATGGCCGCGCACGTAGAGCAGGATGAATCCGAAGGCCTCGGAGTGACGGTCGAAAAAGTACTCGTTTCGCTCCCGGTCGTAGTCGTCGCACACCTCGAGCACGTCGCGCTCTGAGCGGCAACCGTGCAGCCGGCTCACGCGGCGCAGCGGGAAGTCCTTCAGCAGCTCCCGGGACAGCGAGTACCGGGCGCCACCCACATTCAGCACCACCGAGGCCGCCCCGCTGCGCCCGAAGGTCATGGCTAGCCAACCCGGAGCCCTGGCCGCTCCCCAGGCTCCGTGCAGGGCCTGCCTGCCCTTGGCCGACGGGAGAGCGCGCCGTCGGGGCCCGCTCTCCCTCGGGAGTCCGCTCCTGCCCTTAGCCGGCCCAGGAGCCCTTCGGCTCTAGCCTCTAAGGCAGCCCACCGTCGCTAGTGGCCGCGCGCCTTCCACGCTGCGGTACCTGAAGATGGCTGGGGAGTCCCCCCTGGCGCCAGCGCTGTTCCCCACTGGCAGGGAACCAGGCTGTGTCAGCGCCGCCGCCCCTCGCGCCCGGGGGATGCCCCCTCCGCCGCCGGGTTGCCCTCTCCAAGGCGGCGGCGCCAACCCCCTGAGGGGTGCAGGCGCCTAGAGGAGGCGCCGGTGCAGGATGTCTCCCCGTCTCCCGCGCTCCCTCCGGCCGCGGATCCGGCAGCCGCCCGCGGCCGTCCAGAGGCGAGAGGCAAAGTGAGCGGGTTCGGAGGCGGTGAGGAGCCGGCTCGGAGAGGCGGGGGCGGGGCCTCTCTCGCCGTCCTCCTCCTCGCCTGCAGGCTCGGCTCGGCTCTGCTCACCTCCCCCTGCACACCGCCCTCCTCTTCCCGCCCGCGCCCGCACCTCCCCGACTTGCTCGGGCTGGGATTCCCCGGCGCCCCGCCCTGGACCTCGGGGTCCCCGCCTCGTGACGCGGTCTCCCCTCTCCTATCGCCCGCAGTGGCAGGGAGGGGTCTGCAGGGCCGCAAAGCGAGAAGCGGGAAGCCCGGCGGCCGGGGTTCCTGCTCCTGCGTTTTGACCCGGCCATCGGGGTGACTTAGGCAGCCCCGGAGGCCCTTTGCCCATGTTAAAAGCCCCAGCGAGAACGAAGATGCGGGGTTTGAGGGGCGGGGACAGACGGCGTTTGGAGAGCCTTTTACAGAAACTCTCCCCAGCTCAGCTCGGTTTCTAAAACATCCCTAAAGGATTTCTTAAGAGAAGGTGCTTTTGCTGGCGACTTTGCTCTTCCTCTCCCACCACGGGGCGACTCACGTACCGCGTGCTCCGAAGGCGGCCACACTCCCCAGCCCCCGCTTTCTGGGGCCCGGGTCTTGAGAAGGCGCCCACGTGTAGCGCGCCTGGACCCTCATGTGACGTTTCCCATAGTGTGGGGTGAAAGTCTGGGGATAATCGCCTTGCCACTAGCAAAAGCAGAATTTCTGGTTGCCTTCGTCTGCACCCTTCTTTTCAAAATGCCTTGATTTCTCCTATGCACCCCGATCTGGCTGCAGCATCACTTTTGGAACATGAAGAGACCCTTAAGGCGCCGCAGAGCGAACCTACCCCGCGCACTCGCGGGTGCTCTGGCAATGGGTTCGGTTTAGCTGGGATTATTTCAAACTGCTAGAGCAATTCACTCAACATCCGGCACCGGCAGCTCAGCCCGCCGAAGGCGATACTGGTAAGTTGTAATGCAAACTAATATTAGATGCAAAACAAATGCTGGGGAAAAATATAGTAAAGGTTGGGTGGGGTAGGATGGTATACGGTCGTCTGACCGCAGAGTAACCTAGCTGGGTTTAGGGAAGGGTTTTACTTTGCCCTCTACTTTTCATAATTTTGTAGGATTATCTTGTGCCCACTAGAGGTCACCACAAAGAGTTATTTTGCGCTGGTTGTAGTGTGGATTCCCAGAGAAAAGGCAGACAGCTAAAAACTGGCAGTGCTCTCACCCAAAATCACTCTGCGTGGTTTCTTAAAGAATGAAAATCTCTGTAAATTGTTTACCCCTAGACTTGGATAATTTATCTTGAAAGCACTTAATGTGATTAAAAGCTCAAAACAGGAGTTGTATATTTGCTAAGTATCTACTAAACAAGGAAAACCTCCGGAAGGAAGTGAATTTCAAGACGAACTTGAAAGAGGTGATGCCTTGAGTTGGCAGAGAAAAAGGCAATGCATTCCAAGTAGCCAATTCTCAGATGTGGAGGATTAAAGTCTGTAAAGAAAGCTAATGTATTTGCCAGGCTGAAACCGTGGGGACCCCAACCGCACTCCGCACTGTTCAGATTTTATCTGAGAAGCAGTAGGATCCCTGAAGTTTTTAATAACAGACCTGATTTTATTATATATATATGAGGCACACACTCACTACGTCATAGAGTGCTGTACCATCACAGCTCACAGCAACCTCAGACTCTTGGGCTCCAGTGATTCTCTTGTTTAAGCCTCCCAGGTAGCTGGGACTACAGGCACCCCTCACAATGCTCCCCTATTTTTTCATGGTAGTCGTCATTGTTGTTTGGCAGGCCCAGGCTGAATTCGAACCAGCTAGCCTCCGTGTATGGGGCTGGCACCCTAGCCACTGAGCTACAGGCACTGAGCCAGAATTGTTTTGATAAAAGCTTTTTTTCCCCCAGAAGATGTCTTTGCCCTGTGGATCACTCTAAAGAGAAACCCTAAACCCATTTCTGTGTGGTTGAAATGGATCAATTCTGATATATACTAAAACCAAGAACTCAGGAGTCTTGGAGATGGATTTTTTGTTTGTTTGTTTGTTTGTTTTTTTGAGACGGAGCCTCAGGCTATCCCCCTGGGTAGAGTGCCATGGCATCACGCTCACAGCAACCTCCAACTCCTGGGCTCAAGCGAGTCTCCTGCCTCAGCCTCCCAAG